TTTGCACAGCCCTATTGATAATGTCTGGTAATTTATGTGACTTGGTTGCATACTTAGTAAGTCCTCCTTTCCCAGAATTCTCTGAGACTAACATAAAAAAAAGTATTAAAGAGGACTTTTTTTAAACTTAGCAAATGTAAAACACATAAGTATGTTAGTAAAGAAATGGGCTAGTCCTAATTAATGGTCCATGTGCAGAACTAAGAACCAAAAGAATCAGATCTTTTTTTTTTAGCATTAGATCTTTTTAACTGACCTGATCCAGGGTCTACAGGAAAATGAGTTTGATCTGGTTGTTATCATCTCAGGGCAAATAAAATTCTCTGATGTGCCAATGTGCCTCTTCCTCTAGAGGATATCACCTAGCTTGTCAAACAAGCAGATTAGCTGGCACTGTGTGTTCTGACCCCAGAGGGAATAAAAAGAAAGAGAAGGCTTGGTAAAACTTTTACCTTGTATTGTTTCCTTCAGTTTAGTGATGGCAGTTAGGATAAAGCCATTTTTCTATTTGGATTGTCTGAACGGTCCTCCTGTGATTTAAGTGATTAAATGGCAAAAAGGTAAATTAAATATGTGGATATGTTTGATTAATATTTGAGCATCAATCTGTTGATTTCCTTCTGCGAGCAGTTGGTTTACTGAAGAAAGGTATCTAAGATGTTGCTGAGGGAAGATGCAATTAAAAGTAGTCTTCATTTCGAAAATTGCAAAATAGAGTTATGCTACTCAGTAAGCACGGCGTATTTCATATAATGCTTCTTAACATCATGTAACCTATATGAGGCCAAAACCACCCTTCTGCCTCTGCAGACGTCAGAAACTCCTGCATCCTGGGAAGTCCTTGTATCGAGCACTCCTGGATTCAGTCACGTTATCCAATGACAATGTCAAATTTCAAATCATCAATGAGGAGAATAAGGTAAGGCCCCCCACCCATAATGGAACCGTGAATTAGGAACACGGATTCTCTCGCACTTACTTTTTGCATAACAAAGCTGATAATATTTGTCCACCTTTGTAACATGCTTTGAGTTTAGTGGATAACAGGTAGTTTTGTGGTACAATGCAACACTTTGTCATTGATCCAGATAATTTCTTTGGCTTCTATACAGAGATATAGTGTTTTAAAGAATATGTTCTATTCTGTAACATTAGAAATACTAAACAAAGGTCTTTTTTATCTGAAAGGGTTTTTTTGAATGTATGATGGGTTTTCTCTCACATTCCAGAAAACAAATCATAGTCTTACCCAAAGAAACAAGATTAAGCTGATTTCTGTTTTGTGCTATAGAGAAGGGAAAATCTTTAGTATAGTGATACTGAATGTGGATTTTTGGAAAAAATCTGTAGTCTTTAATAATTTATCTGAAAAGTTTTCCTCAAAATTCTACAAATAAAAGTTTGTCTACAAGGGGAAATATCCCAGAATAGCTCTCATGACATACCTATTCCACACTGACTTCCTATGGGGACACTTCTATTATGCATTAAAAATTCTTTTCTGCAATTTAATTTAATCCACTCCAGAAACACAGAATAAAAAAGTGTCCATATGGAGAGAGAGTCTGGAATAGCTACTGTGATTTAAAGTCATAGCTTAGCCTGTAACAACTTCCCCATGTAGACAATCCCTAAGGAAATTAAATGAACAAGGATGTCTGCTTGCTTATGATAGTATCATAGTACACAGTATCATAGTACTTAGGGTCAGAAGGGACCTAAACAGATCAACAGGTCTGACCCCCTGCCCTGGGCAGGAATGGGTACCGGGATCATATCACTCCAGCCAAATATCTGTCCAGCCTCCTCTTGAAGACCCCCAAGGTAGGAGAGAGCACCACCTCACCTCATTATGGTCCTAATGATTTTCTGTATCAACCAAGTTCTGTCTTTTTCAGCAAAAGGGGAAATTGAGTTAGCCTCTTGAGTGAGGAACAGCCTTATTAGAATCCCTGCAGCCTGATAGAAGAAATAGCAGGCACATTCTTAGTTATCTTCAAGAGGTTGGTGGCCAGAACTCCAAGTCTCATCAGAAAAAGAATAAAAAGGGAAAACTGGATGAGATTTTCAAGGTTCTGCATCCAAAAGACATAGTGGAGTCAAGTCATCATTTGAGAGCGAGAGAGAGTCAAGTGGCTTTACATCTTCACTTTTCATCTCTGAATGTTAAAAAACAGCAAATAATCAATCATAAATCTTGCTAGGTAGGTCAGTACTACACTTTTTTTTTCTCCTTTTCAATTTACATTGATGCAGTTCAACCATTGTAAGTACCATTTTGAACTCTTGTGTAGATAGTGTAGCAAAGTTTCTATACAATGCCATGGACCCCTGCTCAGATCTTGATGGCACAGAAATAAACATGCCTGAGTTTCAAGTCCTGTCTACACCTGTTCTACAGCTGTAGCTGTTACTGGAGGTTCTGTACAATGTTGATGATTCCTAGAAAATCTTTCTTTTTTTAAATCAGGCCAGTTTTACTTATAAACTAAAAGTGTTTGCTTCCTGAAAATAGTATAATAGACCTAAATGCAAGTGGGCAATGACTGCTAGTATGCAAAATTTTGGGTGAATCAAAAGGCATACATGGTCTTGGACAGAAAATAAATGTCTAGTGATACTGAAATCCTGGAATTCTGCATTAAAATAAAAAATGATGCTCATATCCCAGTATAGCACAGTAATGTACCTGTTTGATCATTCCCAGGTTCCTCTCCTAGTAGAAATTTATGAAATAGAAAGCAACATTTTCAGAGTTAAAATTAATGAAGTGGCTCCTCTCAGAAGAAGATATGAAGTGCCTGATGTTCTCATAAAAGAACCTACCACTAAGAAGTAAGTTATATATCTGTCATATATTATATATGAGTTTATAAAATTAAATATCAGTTATATGTATAAGATAGTATAAGTATAAAACATACTGCATATACATTTATATACATACATTTATATAAAAGTACTGTATAGCATCTAAGTTGCATACATATCTTCCTTGCCAAAGGTGTGCACCTTCTCACATTTGGACAAAAATGTATTAATTCCCTGGAATATCAGCAAATTACAGAGATAGGAAAAAGCAATTAGCCCATGAAGGTAATTCTGAGAATTGGTAACAAATTGAGGGAGACAAACAGCCTGTGGCAGAATGCCATCTCTGTCTCGCCCCAAACTCTGCTATGAGGCGGATGACCAGTCTGACAATTTGGTTACCATGGTCACTGAAGAGGGCAGACACCCTTCGCCCCATTGGCTGCAGGTAACATTGAGTTGTAACCTGAGCTGGATATATTCCTGAGGGAGGGGAAAACCTGCTCCCTCTGCCTATGT